TTGTAATTTTGTGACAGGAATGAATGAGTGAATTGGTGAATGAACATGCGGAAGGGGTTTCCATCCAGGCCATCTGGCAAACTCCTACTCCTTCTACAAAACCCAAGCCTCCTCCTCCCGGGAGCCTTCCCTGCCCCCACCCCGTCCCCCACAGGCACCTCTGAGCACTTCTCACACTGCACTTATTTACCCAGGGCCTTGCTGTGTGGCTCCGCCCTAAACTTCATAAGCGTCAACTTCTGGACTCTTCACTGCAATCCTCTAAGCGGCACTATTATTGCTCCCATTTTAGAGGAAACTGAAGCACTGAGCGGTTGCTCTGTCACATGTCTGAGTGGCGGGCTTTGCTCCGCGGCTTCTAGTGACATCATGGGTGAGAAAGCTCTTCGGAATCTTGGAATCACCTTCCTAAGACAAAGAATGGTTGCTGGATTTGTTTGATTTTTTTTCTCCCCCTCCCAACAAGTTTTGGAAAGCAAGGCTGCAGAAAGACACGGGGCTCTGGAGGCGGCCCGGGGACAAGACTGTCTGGGCTCCGGGTTCTCTGAGCCTCAGTTTCCCTACCGAGGGCGGCGAGGCTCGGAGGCCTCGCCCACGCCTGTGACTAACGGCGCTTGCCTCCAATCAGGGCCTGCGCAGCTCGGGCCGCCCGGCGAACCCCTAGGATGAAGCTTTGCTGACACCTGGTGGCTGCAGGGGAAGTGGAACCTTGAGGACCGATAAAAAGGGTCCGCCCGGTCCTGCAGAGACCGGAGAGGAGGGAACTGTAAACTCAGAGGGGAGGTGAGTAGGGTGGACGTGCAGAGCATCCCCCACGCGAGAGAGAAAGAGAGGGAGGAAGAGGGAGGACGGACAGGGCACTCTCTAGGAAGTCCCCAGGAAGGCTGGAAGTCGGAGGTCAAGGCGTTGGCAGAGTCGGGTTCCCCTGGGGGCTGCAAGTGAGAATCTGCTCCGTGTTTCTCTCCTAGCTTCTGGTGGGTGGCCAACAATCTGCGGCACTCCTTGCCTTGCAGAAACAGAACCCCAGCATCATCTTCACATGACATTCTCCCTGTGTGCGTGGCTGTCTCCACGTTTCCCGTTTTCATAGACACCAGTCACATTCCAATAGGGGCCTACGCTACTCCAGTATGATCCACTCTTAATATAACTAATTACATTTGGCCGGGCATGGTAGCTCACACCTACAGTCACAGCACTTTGGGAGGTGGAGACTGGAGAATTGCTTGAGGCCAAGAGTTCGAGACCAGCCTGGGCAACACAGTGAGACCCCCCGACCCCCACCCCGCCAAATCTCTACGTAAAAAATAAAAAAGTTAGCAGGTGTGGTCATGCACGCCTGTGGTTTCAGCTTCTCCAGAGGCTGAGGCAACAGGATCACTTGAAAGCCCAGTAGTTGGAGGCTGCAGTGAGCTATGATTGTGCCATCACACTCCAGCCTGGACAGCAGAGTGAGACCCTATCATTTAAAACAAAACTGCACTTGCAATGACCCAGTTTCCAAATAAGGTCACATTCTCTAAGGTACTAAGGATTAGGATTTCAGCATATGAATTTGGGGGGGTTCTTGTTCAATCCATAATAATCACCATTGCTCTACTCTCAAACTATTACAATGCCCCTAGAGTGAGAGCTTCTAAGGACAGGGAATCTGTCTTACTACTTTGTATCTGTACTCTGCCCAGTTCCAGGAGTGAAATAGGCACTCAGTAAGTTTTGGATGAAGAATCAATAAAGAAATGAACGAAAGTAACATTTATTTAGCATGTGTTAGTTTCCATCTTTATGATAATCATTTTAACCGCTTTAACAAGGTTTTCCATGTGCCCCCACATCTCTGCATTCCAGCCACCACCCTGCCTTTGTGGAGTTTCTCAGAGCTACCAGGCTCCTCCCACCACAGGGCCTTTGCACATGCCACTCTCATCTGGGACACTCTTCTTTGGCCTCTTTACCCCTGTAATTTCTACTCTTCCTTGAGATCTCAGCTGGAGTCTTTTCCTCAAGGAAGTAGCTTAGACTTGTGTGGATTCTGTTTTTTTAACTTTTATTTTAGGTTCGGGGGTACATGTGCAGGTTTGTTATAAACTCGTGTCATGAGGGTTTGTTGTAGATTATTTCATCATCCAGGTACTAAGTCAAGTATCCAAATAGGCACTCAGTAGGTAATGGTTGAAGAATGAATGAAGAAATAGATGATAGTAACATTTATTGAGCACTTACTGGTTTCTTTTTTTTTTTTTATTTTAACTTATTATTTATTTATTTATTTTTGAGATGGAGTCTCACTCTGTTGCCTAGGCTGGAGTGCGGTGGCGCAATCTCGACTCACTGCAAGCTCCGCCTCCCAGGTTCAAGCAATACTCCTGCCTCAGCCTCCCTAGTAGCTGGGATTACAGGTGCCTGCCACCACACCCAGCAATTTTTTGTATTTTTAGTAGAGATGAGGTTTCACCGTGTTAGCCAGGATGGCCTCGATCTCCTGACCTCATGATCTGCCCGCCTCAGCCTCTCAAAGTGCTGCAATTACAGGCGTGAGCCACCTTGCCCGACTTTTTTTTTTTTTTTTTTTTTTTTACTTAAGTTCTGGGATACATGTACCACAGTGGTTTGCTGCACTCATCAACCGATCATCTATGTTTTAAGCCCTGCATGCATTTGGTATTTGTCCTAATGCTCTCCCTCCCCTTGCTCCCCACCCCTGACAAACCCCAATGTGTGATGTTCTCCTCCCTGTGTCCATGTGTTCTCATTGTTCGACTCCCACTTATGAGTGAGAACATGCGGTGTTTGGTTTTCTGTTCCTGTGTCAGTTTGCTGAGAATGACGGTTTCCAGCTTCATCGATGTCCCCGCAAAGGACATGAACTCATTCTTTTTTATGGCTGCATAGTATTCCATGATGTATATGGAGCACTTACTGGTTTCTACCTTTATGATAATCATTTGAACCACTTTAGTTCATTCAACAAGGTTTTCCACTTTTCCAAATGTGAGGGGATGCTTCTAAATGGAGTCCTAAAGGGGCGAGAATTTCTAAAACATTCCTGAAGAATCATGTTATAGGGCAGTGGTCCCCAAATGTTTTGGCACCAGGGATCAATTTTGTGGAAGACACTTTTTCATGGGCTGTGGGCAGCGGACGTTAGATTCTCATTGGAGCATGCAACCTAGATCCTTTGCATGTACAATTCACAATAGGGTTTGCACTCCTGTGAGAATCTAATGCCTCCGCTGGTCTGACAGGAGGCAGAGCTCAGGCTGCAATGCCCACCTCCTGTTGTGCAACCCCCATTTCCGGCCATGGGAGACCCAGGGTTTCAGGGCCCCTGTTTTAGGGACCTCAACACTGACTACAAAGCAGTAGTCATGAACATAAAGTGGCAAAGTGCGGGGATACACTGACTATAGGAACAGAAAAGACAGCCCATAAAATCACCCCATCTATGGGGAAGGGGATGGATCAGCAAGGTGACTGCGCTGCAGTGCAGCAAATGGACTCCTTCATGAATGATTTTAGGACATCGGATGTCCAAAGTGGAAAAAAAAAGAAAAGGAAACTGAATCTCTACCATACACTACATGCAAGAATCAGCTCCAGAAGGATTAAGAACGCAAATGTGAAGAGCAAAAGTTTTAAAAGTTTAGGGAAAAAAATATATTGGGCAATTTCTTTGTAACCAGGGATTAGAAAGAATTTCTTCAAGGTTGGCCGGGCGTAGTGGCTCACTCCTGTAATCCCAGCACTTTGGGAGGCCAAAGCAGGCGGATCACAAGTTCAGGGGTTCAAGACCAGCCGGGCCAACATGGTGAAACCCCTACTAAAAATACAAAATTTAGGCGGGCATGGTGGTGCATGCCTGTAATCCAGCTACTCGGGAAGCTGAAGCGGGAGAACTGCTGAACCCGGGAGGCGGAGGTTGCAGTGAGCCAAGATTGTACCACTGCACTCCAGCCTGGGCAACAGAGCAAGACTCTGTCTTGGGAAAAAAAAAAAGAAAGAAGAAAGAATTTCTTCAAGGAGATGTGAAAGGCATAAACCCTAAAGGAAAATATTGCTGTTTGACTACATTAAAATTTAAAATGGTATCAAGAGATACCAAAAACAAAGTGGCAAGAGGCTGCACCCAGGAAGCAGATATTTGCACTGCATATTAACCAACAAAAGCTGAGTCTAAAGACAGAAGGCCTGCAGCATTTCGTTTCAGCCTTGTCGCAATCCCATTAGGAAGGTACTGTTTCTCTCCCATCTTCCTGAGTAGAAGCATCAAAGCTCTGAAGGCAAAAGGACTTGCCTGAGCCTCTATCCCTGGCCAATGGCCCAGAACAGCAGTATAAACCAGCCTTCATTCCCAGATCATTGCATCACCTTGAGCCTGGCTACAGCCAAGATCCTCACAGCTCAGTAGTCTCTTCCTCATTGAAGTAGCTTAGATGTTGTGTAGATTCTTAAATTACTAACAGTTGCCCGCAGCCATATGATGAATGAATGAACACACTCACAAACGTGGCATTCTGACCTCTCCCTGGGCTGGAGTGGGGGATTCAGGGTTCTTGGCTTCTCTTGCAAATCAAAAAAGACTCCCAGACTCAAGGGGATAATGTGATAATGTGAGAATGGCGGGCAGTGAACACGTTTTTAAGGGCTGGGGCACCCATCACATGCCCCTGAGAATGACTGTGCTCAGCAACCAGCATGTAACAGGGGGCTCAGGAGCTCAACCAAGCCAGCCACTCAGAGGCAAGGGAATTTCAAGTCAGATGAAGAAATAAAGGCTCAGAGAGGTTGGGCACTGTGTCCAAGGTCACACAGCTAAGCAGCTGCAGAACTGTAAGATTCAATAAGGGTTCTGTTGCCCTACTCCTAGCCCAGATACATGCTGATTCTCATTTCTCTCTCGCTGTCTCTCTCTCTCTCTCTCTCTCTCTCTCACACACACACACACACACACACACACACACACACCCCAGCTGCTGGGGGAATCAAAGACCCACAGCAGACAAGTTGCAAGTCACACTTTATTCACTCTCTGGTTGGTCTGGAGGGTTCCTGGGCAGCAGGTCTGGGTCCTGGGAAAGAGGCATGGTGGGGAGGGTACTAGTTGGAGGGGTGGAAGGCGCCACGTTGGTGCCACTGCATGTCGCGGATGCGGCGCACAGACTGCACCTGGGGGTGAGGGGCCCCAAAGTCGCTGCTCTCCTTGTAGTCTCCCTTCTCCAGCAGGTACTGCAGCCCGCGGTAGCCGGGGTACTGGTAGCCAACCCACCTGCAGGACCAGAGGTGAGGGGAGGGTGAACCGGGGGAACAGGAAGAGAAACGAGAGAGAAGCGAGGGGAGAGCATCCATAAGCCACTAGGAAGGGTGAAGCCTCCCAACCATTGCCACTTCCCAGGAGTAAGCAGGACACCCTTTCCACCCCACCTTTCCAGCACTGAGCCTCTGCTTTCTTCCTTCTCTTGATGGGGAGCTCACTGCCTCCTGAAGCAAATTTTGACTGAAGGCCTGGTACTGGGGTCAGAGTAAGGGGGTGGTATCTTAAGCTCACTGAAGTTTAGAATAAGTCAGACCTTTGAACCATCTCCATCCACTGCTATCCCACCTCCAAGTCCAGCTGCAAGGCCAAAGAAGAGTTGGGGGAGGTTCCAGGGGCCTTCTGATGAAAGAGGTTCCAGGGGCTACTTAATGAAAGTGCTGGTCTTCTTTCCAGAAAATGGCACACAGGCCTGGCCTGCAAGGACCTGCCTGGCCAGTGTCTGTGGACATCTCCAGCTCTACTTCACATTCTTATGCTCCCACATCTCTGCATTCCAGCCAGTGGCCTTTGTAGAGTTTCTCAGACCTACCAGGCTCCCCCCACATGCACCACAGGGCCTTTGCACATGCTGCTCTCATTGTCTGGGACGCTCTTGCTTGGCCTCTTTACCCCCGCAATTCCTACTGTTCCTTGAGATCTCAGCTCAAGAATCTTTTCTCCAAGGAAGTAGCTTAGACTTACGTGGATTCTTAAATTATTAACAGTTGCCCCTTCTAGACTGTTGGCTACACAGGGCAGAAGCCAGATCTCTTTAATCTCCTTCACCCTGGGCACCTAACACAATGCCTGGCATATGACAGCACTGACAAATTGAATGAATGAATGAATCAATGAATGAATGAAGGGAATGAGGGAATGAAGGAGAACAGGAGCACAGAACTTTGCACACCACTTTAGGAGTTTGACAAACCCCAAGAAGCCAGTATGTTTGGCTAAACTGGTTCTGCTGGGGGGAAAGAGCCTTAATTCATAGCACTTGCTGATTTCTATGCTGTAAATGCACCCACTGTGGCTGGTTTCAAGCTACCAATGATTAGTCAATCAGTTCACACAAATTCTGAAAATGTAAGAGTCGGTTCCAGGCTGGGCGCGGTGGCTCATGCCTGTAATCCCAGCACTTTGGGAGGCCGAGGCAGGCAGATCATGAGGTCAGGAGTTTGAGACTAACCTGGCCAACACAGTGAAACCCCGTCTCTACTAAAAATGCAAAAAATTAGCTGAGCGGCCGGGCGCGGTGGCTCAAGCCTGTAATCCCAGCACTTTGGGAGGCCGAGACGGGCGGATCACGAGGTCAGGAGATCGAGACCATCCTGGCTAACATGGTGAAACCCCGTCTCTACTAAAAAATACAAAAAACTAGCTGGGCGAGGTGGCGGGCACCTGTAGTCCCAGCTACTCGGGAGGCTGAGGCAGGAGAATGGCGTGAACCCGGGAGGCGGAGCTTGCAGTGAGCTGAGATCCGGCCACTGCACTCCAGCCTGGGCGACAGAGCGAGACTCCGTCTCAAAAAAAAAAAAAAAAAAAAAAAAATTAGCTGAGCTTGGTAGTGGGCACCTGTAATCCCAGCTATTTGGGAGGTTGAGACAGGAGAATTGCTTGAACCTGGGAGGCGGAGGCTGCAGTGAGCCAAGATTGTTCCACTGCATTCCAGCCCGGGCGACAGTGCAAGACCCCATCTCAATTAAAAAAAAAAAAAAAAAAAAGGCTGATATAAGCTATTTCCAACACACTGCTGCCCAAAGCTCATCTGTGGACCCCCCATGGAATCCAAATTTTTTACCATGAGAAATCCCCCATTGCTGATGGCCTGGGTCGATGTGCCCAGGAACTTCCATTCAGAGGAAAATGACACCTCCTGTTCCCAAACTTAGGGACACATGCGGTCAAAGGCAGCATGGGCTGGTCCTCCTGCTTCTCAGCTTTCAGACTACTCAACTCATTCCTTCCCTCCTGCCTCAACCTAATCCTCCCTCTGCCTCAACTTGCCCCTCTGACATACATGTCTTGCTCACTGGGGCTGAGGTAAAGGCCAAGGTTTCTCCACTCCAAAGGCCATTTCCCCAAAGGCAGCTCTAGAGAGAAATTCAGGGGCTGTAAGCCACCTGTGGGCAGAGAATTCCCATTTACTTTCCAGTGGGAAGCCAGAGGTCAGCAGAGTACACTGATGTGTGCAAGATCACCAGTGTACACAGGGCAGAGCAGGACTTAGGACCCGAGAGTCTCAGTTCCTGGGGCAGGGTGAGCCAGGGCTGGCAATGCGCTTACGTGCCACTCTGCACCCGCACAGATGACACCTTCTCCTGGTAGCCGTGGGCGTGGAAGCTGGGTACGTCGTCATCTATGATTTCCATCTTCTTCCCGGTGAAGTTGGGGTTTTCATAGAGGATGATCTTGTGCTCTTGGCTGTCCTATTGGCAGAGGATGTGGGGAAGTGAGTATGAGTGACGGGGCCCAGGGTTGGCCTTCCCACCCCATGCTCATGCCCCAGAGTTGGGATCCCCATGTCCCACACATCACTCTCTGCCCAGTGCACCTACCACGTGTCTATGACAACTGCTGTTGGATCGCAGCCATTTGTTAAGTTTCTACTGGGCCATTTTCATGTAACAGACACTCTGAAATGCTACACTTTGGGGAATATTTGATTCTGAAATGTCATTTTTTCCTCCTATGCCTCAAGTTTCTCTTTTATAAATGGCAGCTACAATCTACCACCCACTCACAAGTGCACACCCACACATGCACACACAGGCACACTCACAGGCATACACACACAGGCACACACATGCACACAGGCGCGCACACACACACACACCCACACATGCGCACACACACATGCACACACACGTGCACACACATGCGCACACACACACAAGCACACACAGGCACACACGCACACACACACGTGCACACACATGCACACACAGGCAGGCACACACACACATGCACAGGCTAATTGTGCCTCTAATAGGCACCTGAGATATTTTGATTTTTCTTCATTTCTACATCTCTTCCCATCCTCCTGTTCCTGTAACATTTTCCTTAGTTATCTAATCCTTTAAACATTTTCAGTTTAAGATAAGATTTTCAGATAAGAAAACCCTTATCCCTTAGACATAAAATCCTTTTATGCCATTTGGCAGATGAGAAAAATGAGGCACAGAGAGGTCAAATGACGTGCTCAAGGCCACACAGATGGGAGCAGCACAGCCAACATGGGAACCTGGGTCTGTGGGGTGTGAAGTCCAGTGTTCTCCAACCTTCCAGTAGGTCCTGGGAGGAGCTAGACTGGGCTTGGAGGGTTTGGGAGTGTAACTGAGCAGTGATGGGCCCTGTCCCCTCCCCGACAGTTTACACACTCACACACTAGTAAGACTCGGGATCTCAGAAGCACTGAAAACTCACACTGGCACGAGTCTTGAAGAAGAGCTAAACCACCTTCTCCTCCAGTCCTGAACTCAGAATTTCTTGTATTTCTGATGGCTATTGATTATTGAGCAATGACTCTGTGATGGGAGTTGCCCAACCCTGCGGGGTGGGGGGCACCAACCACGTAAAACAGAATGTGAATAGTGCCCTCTGGGGCATTTCATAGTCTTGTGATTGGAGACCCCTGGAGTTGCGCAGCGTGACAACCCTCAAGCTAATAAGCACATTGGAATCTCAGGACAGTAGATACCAATATGCCCATTTTACAGATGAAGAAACTGAGGCTCAGGGAAGTAAAATGACTTTTGCAAGGTCACCCAGTGAGGAGGTTCCTCACCAATCAGAAGGGGCACAATGCTAGAGGGGCAGGCTCTTTCCTGGTCTCAGGACCTCCGGCTCCAAGGTGGCAAAGACAGAAAGTAGGATGATGGGCAGAGAGAGAAAGTAGGATGATGGCAGGGGGCTCACCACTTTGATGGGCCTCAGGGAGCTGAGGGAGTCTGTCCTGCGGCTGCTGGTCCACGAGTCCCAGCGGGGGTACTCGCCCTTCTCAAACACAAACTGCTCGCCCTTGCAGTTGGCCTGTTCATAGCCCACCCAGCTGCCATGGAGACAGAGAGAAAGGGGGCAGGTCAGTTCCACTCCAAGCTTCCTATGGCAGGATCCTGGCTACTCACGTTGGCCCCTGGGGTTCACTCTTGCCCAACCCGGCAAGATGTAGTAGCCCCACCCGAACCTTAGCACGGCAAATCCAAGCGCACAGTCCCCCCATTTATCCAGAACTCAGTGCTATGTTGCCTTTAACCACCTGGAACACAGTTAAGAAATAAGAAGGCGGTCTAAATAACGGCCCGCAACAAATACCAATATATAGACGCCATGCACTAAAGCCAATAGTATGCTGGTAAGTTAACAGCCAACTCTCAAAAAACAAAACAAAAATTAACACTCTTGATTTGCAGCGTTTGCCAATTTCCATGGTGTAAATGCTCCCACTGTGGCAGATTTCAAGCTATGGCACGGCTGCAAGTGGAGCTGGGGAGAGAGATGCATAGTCAGCCTTCACCACTGAGAACTGACCCCAGAACCCCTCAGTTGTGCCCAAACCCCTCTCTTTGGATCTGTTTCTTCTCTTGTCCCTGTTGTTAGACTCTGCCCAAACTCTGGTTTTGTAGATCCACATTAGAAGAAAAATAGTACATTAAGGAGGGAGGGATGGCCTTCAGGTCGGGCATGGCTAATAGAGGAAGGCAAAAAATAGGAGGAAAAAACCCACAAATCTCAAAATGATTAGCATTCTGGGGCCAACCAGTGCAGAGGCAAACATTTCAGCATGTGCAATAATGGCTGTTCAGAGGAATAATCTAAGTTATTAATGGAAGAGGAGATCATGTTTATTATCCTCTTTTGGAAGAGTAGTCTTGATCCAGCAATTCTACTTTAGGCAATGGGTCCCTAGAAAACAGTTGTCAAGGGGCCAGGCGCCATGGCTCATGCCTGTAATCCCAGCACTTTGGGAGGCTGAGGCGGGCAGATCACCTGAGGTCAGGAACTCGAGACCAGCCTGGCCAACATGGTGAAACTCTGTCTCTACTAAAAATACAAAAAATTAGCTAGGCACGGTGGTGCATGCTTGTAATCCCAGTTACTCGGTTGTCTGAGGCAGGAGAATTGCTTGAACCAGGGAGGTAGAGGTTGCAGTGACTTGAAATCGTGCCATTGAATTCCAGCCTGGGTGACAAGAGCTACAACTCCATCTCAACAAAACAAAACAAACAAACAAACAAAAACAGTTGTCAAGGGATCACAGATATCTGAATAAGGATGTTCATTGTGGCATTGTTTATAATATCCAGTAACTGAAAAACTTATCCTATAATCAGAGCCTGGATATGGCATATTCAATCATGGACTGTTACAAAGCCATGGTAAGTAATGGCATAGGATGTGGGTTATCAAATGTAACTGGTGTAACTATCACCAGGTAAGCTTGTTAAATGCAGATTCCAGGCTCTAGAGCTAAGTTTGATTTAGTGGGACTGACATGGGGCCCAAGAACCTCCATTTTAAAGCATCTCCCTTCTGGGAATCTGATGTGAATTTTCCTCAAACGACTTTGAAAAGCACCAACATAAAATGCTATTTAATGACATGGAGAGAGTTCATGCTACCTTGTAAAATTTCCAAAGTGAGTAATAATACATCATGTTTAGTATGATCCAAGTTTGATTTGATTATACACACACACACACACAGAGAGAGAGAGAGAGAGAAACAGAGAGAGAAAGAGAGAAGGAAATCTAAATTCATACCAAAATCTTAATAATGGTTACTTCTGAGTAGTGAACAGAAGTCATACGGTTTTTTGCTTTAAACCATATCTTCTTAGTTTTAAACAATAAATGATAGTTAATAAAAATATTAAATGTTATATTTTTAAAAAAAGAAAGCAGAAGAGTGTAAAATCTCTTTGGGAAAGTTTTTTTCATCAAAATAGTTGAAAAGGCAGCTGAAAATCAGATGTGACGCTTAAACAGTCAAATCTCAGTTATCCAGAAAGGGATTCTCTTAGACACAACAGATTCCCTGAGCATGTCAGATGACCAACGCTTGGCATAGCCACTGCTTTAGCTGTGTTCTGCACATCTTCAGGTTCTGACCCATGTAGGGCCGTGGAACTCTGCAGAATTCCCTGAGAACCTTGAGGTGTGGTATGGCTTACCTTAGGATCTCCAGCTGTATCTGACTTACTGGCCACCAGTGGACATTTCTACATCCTGAGGCTTTGACAGAGAAGGAGTGACGAGAGAAGCTGTGGTTTGTGTCCCAGACACTCTGCAGGCTCACATAAGACTATGCTCAGCTACATGACATAAGGTGAGTCAACCATTCAGCTCCCCTTCTCTCTTGGATACAGACCTGGCCCCCAAGTGTGCCAAAAAATCTGTAAAGACCCAGTATTGTCAGGATTTGGGAAGGGAGGAGTGGATGCAGAGCTGGGACATCCAGCCTTAAACCTCCCAGGATTGAGGACACTCCTGGAGCCAGAGACTGGCAGTTCTAAAAGCTTCATGAGTCACTATGTCCATCTTCCTGCCTTGACCTCTGTATCAGGCTTTCTACATGACCCTTTCCCTTCATCCCCAGAGCACATGGTCATCCTTATCCTACAGAGGAGGAAACTGAGGCTCAGACGGGGAAGGTTCTGGTCCAACACCACACAGCCTAGAAGTGGTGGAGCCTGGATTTGAACCCAGCTCTATCTGACTGCAAAGCATGAATTATCTCCATACACTGCCAGTCCCCAAAACTTGATCCCCAGATTGCAGACAGGAGAACAGCAAGGGTAGATTCCTCTAGTCCACAACCTGATCACCTCACCCAAAGTCCGTGACCAGGAGAGGCCACCCAGGTACTTACGGTCCAGCCTGCACTAGGACAGAGCCTGCCTTCTCCACGCCAGTCTCCTTCAGGTTGGGGCAGGGCCCATTGAGCTCATGCGAGTGACCTTGAAAGTTTTCCTGCTCAAAGATGATGATCTGCAACAGGAAGCGAGACTCAGACCCTCCTCATGATGAAGAGAAGTGACAGTTGGCTGGTAGACGTGGGGAGGGAGCTCAGAGAACCCAAAGGAAGCTGAAGGGTTCACCTCCAGAGCGACAAACCAAACATAAAAATCAAACAGCCCTGGCTCTGGCTATAAGCAGCTGTGGGACCTTGAGCCTGCATTTGTCCTCTCTAAGCGTCAGTCTCCCCGTCTGTAAAATGGGAAATAAAGACAGAACCCAGGCTGGGTGTGGTGGCTCACACCTGTAATCCCAGCATTTTGGAAGGCTGAGGTGGGAGGATTGCTTGAGCCCAGGAATTTCAGACCAGCCTAGGCAAGATGGCAAGATCCCACTTCTAATTTTTTTAAAAAGAAAAAGAGGCTGGGCGCAGTGGCTCAAGCCTGTAATCCCAGCACTTTGAGAGGCCGAGACGGGCGGATCACGAGGTCAGGAGATTGAGACCATCCTGGCTAACACGGTGAAACCCCGTCTCTACTAAAAAAAGTACAAAAAAACTAGCTGGGTGTGGTGGCGGGCGCCTGTAGTCCCAGCTACTCAGGCGGCTGAGGCAGGAGAATGGCATAAACCCGGGAGGCGGAGCTTGCAGTGAGCTGAGATCCGGCCACTGCACTTCATCCTGGGCGACAGAGCGAGACTCCGTCTCAAAAAATAAATAAATAAATAAATAAATAAATAAATAATAAAAAGAAAAAGAAACGAAGACAGAAACTGCCTTGTGATATTGTTTGTTAGAAGGATTCAGGGGAGCATAATTTGCACACCGTATTTGCTCGGCTTGTGGGAGACATAATTATGTTAATTAAGAGATGTTCTACAGATTCCAATAAGTGGCAGAGCTGAAATTGGAGCTCAGGCTTGTCTGATGCAGCTGAAATGGAAGCAACACTTTGCGAACCCTAACAGGTGCATGTAGCACCTGGGATCTGGATAAGTGCAGTTTCTGAGGGAACAGGTCTGGGGTGCAGCCCTGGCTTCTGCATTTCCAATCATCTCCCAGGTGATGCTGGTGCCACTGGCTTATGGACCAAATTAGGAGTAGTGACGTGCTAGACCACGCGTTTGAGCTTCTCCTCCTCCCATTAGAGCTGCACCGGTACCTTCATATACACCCCTTACCTCCATTTCACCCATAAAACTACACACACCTGGGCCCTTTCTCCAAGCCTCCACAGAATTCCCAGGTGTCCCTATGAGCTCCCCCTTGAAATACTTCTTAAGAGGACTTCACTCCCCTTGTCTCACCTGGTATTATCAGCCCAAGGGAGGGGGCTCACGAGATCCCCATCAGGGAAACTGAAGCTCTGCAAAGTGAAGAGACCCACCCAACATCTCCCACATCCAAATTAACTATGAGGCTAGCTGCCACCTTTCATGGTTCCAGTGAGAATTTTGGAGGCAGAGCTTTTTCAGCCACATCTCCCCAGCAAACTGCCCCTGGATGAAAAGATGGGCTCAGGTCAGCACACTCCCAGTCGGGGAAGCTACAGAATCGACATGGTCAGCACAGGCTGGATAAACATAGCCCTGACTCCCAGGCCTGGGATTAGCCACACAAAGAAAGGAAAAGGGGTGCCCCACAGGGCTTAGAGGTGAATTCCATGGGCTCAATCCAGCCTTTACAATCAGTGACCCAGCCCTTTACGGTCATTGACTCGGCCAGAGATAGGATCAGGAGACAAGGGCTCCATTGTGTCCTCTGTTACATCCAGTTGTGCAAACCTAAAAAGCAATTCAATACTCTGGGCCTCAGTTCTCTCATCTGTAAAATGGGGAATCAAGAATATGGAAGTTCGGGGCTAGTTTATTATTACGCCAGCCTGGGAGACAAGGGCTTGTGGGCGGTTACCACATAGTATTTGTGCTGCTTGTGGGAGACATAATTACGTTAATTAAAAGACATGCTACAGATCCCACGTGAATAAGTGGAAGAGCTGAAACTGAAGCCCAGGCTTGTCTGATGCAGCTGAAATTGAAGCAGCACTTTGCGGACTCTAACCTGTGCACGTAACACTGGGATCTTGATCAAATGCAGTTTCTGAGGGAGCAGGCCTGGGGTGCCCACCTGAAGAGGGTTAGGCAGGTGAGGAAGGGTAGTTTCTCCATGCATCTGAAAGCCCAGAAGCTCAGAGGACCCAGGAGCTCACTAGCGTTGTTATTATTAATCGATAGAGTGGAGGGCAACATTTTACAAATTGTCTAATCCTTTAAAACTGCACTGTCCCACACAGCAGCCATTAGTAACATATGGCTACTGAGCACGCATAATTAGTCCATACTATTACTTATACTGTGCTCTAAGTGTAAAATACACATCATATGTTGAAAATTCAGAATGGAAAAAATAATGTAAAATATCTGCCTAATAATTCTTATATTGATTATACATTAACATGCTCATCTTTTGGATATATTGGGTTTCATAAAATATAATATGAAAATTAATTTCACCTGTTTCTTTTTACTTTTAATGATGTGGCTACTAGAAAATTTTGCATTACCTATATGGTTCACATCATAGGTCTAGTGGACAGTGCTTCTTGCTTTTTTCCAAACTCACCCAGCTCATTCCCACCTTGGAGTCTTTGTGCCTGATGTTCCTTTTGTCTGGATGCTGTCATCAACCCTCACCCCCATTTTTAATTTTTCTGTGGAGATGGGATCTCACTATGTTGCCCAGGCTGGCCTCAAACTTTTTGGCTCAAGCAATCCTCCCGTCTCGGCCTCGCAAAGGCACCCCCAATTTTTACATAGCCGCTTCCTCACTTGACCCAGGTGTGTGCTCAAAGTCACCTCCTCAGAGAGGCCCTCCTGGAACACCTGAGCTAACACAACCACTGCGACTCTCAGGAGCCCCTTCCCCTAGTTTACATTTATTTGTAGCACTTCTCACTACTGAAAATAATATATTCATTTATTTATTGTCTGTCCTTCTTCTGGAAAGTAAGCCCCATAAGGGACAGATCGGGGTGAGCAGGTGAGGGGCTGCATCTGCTCAGGCTTCCCTGGCCCAGGAGGCACCAAGTCAGACCAACGGGCCATTCCTGAAGGAACCTGTGCCTGGGGTTACCAAAGCAGAGAGGCACAGGAGGGCAGCCAGCTGGGTGCTCCTCGATAGAGGTTTGAGGGCAGACTCGGTGTGACAAGCCTCTGACATTGTGATAAGATCCTGCTGCCCTTGGGGGGGCAGGTGGACGAGAAATCAAAGAAGGGATTATTTGGTGGTGTTAGGTGGATGCGCACCCCGGGCCGGGTGTTAGGTTGAGCCTGGTTTCTTTGGCTCTTACAACTTTCCTATGCAATAAATCTGACTCCTCCTTTTACAGAGATGGAACGGAGGCTCAGAGGGATCAAATAATTGGCCCGGGTCACACAGCAGGTGCAGAGCCAGGACTCACACCAACCTTCCATCTACTAATCCCACCTCTGACTGAGAATGAGGGTCTACTCCAGTTTCAGGGAGCCCTGTGGACAGTAGGGTGTGGGAAAACAGGTAAGGGAGAGAAACTGAAGTCTCCAAAGCCGGAGGCTGGTACTGGGAATCCCAGCATGCCAGCTATGGGCTGGGGAGGGACTCTCAGAATCAGCCCCAAGTGTGTGGGTAGGGGAGACTGAGTCCCAGAAGGGCAGGGGTGGAGAGGGGGTACCTGTGAAGAAAGATGCCAAGCCCATTTTACAGAAGGGCAACTAAGTCTGGGAGAGGAGCACTGCATGCCCCCTCCTCCGAGAGGTACCCACCTTGGGGTTGAGGGACTGTGGCTTGCCCGCCTGGGTCTGGTGGTCTGAGGCCATGGTGGACTGTCCCGTGCAGGAATGACCTGGAAGACATGGGAAGCAGCAGTGAGGACCTGGAGGGGCCATTGACTTTTTCACTCTGTGGGGACTTGGGACCACTCCTCTCTGGCCCCAAATATTCTTCTTTTCCCCCTGGTTTCAGGCTGTCCCAGAGCTGTGGGGTCCATAAGCAGCTACTTGAACTTCTGTCCTTAGCTTCATTTATATCTATCCAGGCCAGCTCCAGGAGGAGGGAAAAATGAGGTCTACTCAAAAAAAGGGTGGGGGGCAGTGAAAAACTGAGCTTAAATGAGGTCCCAAGTGGGTCCCCAACACTCAACCCCAGACAATGGATACCATGCAGAATATAGAACAGTCAATCCCAGAATTTCTGCCTTTATGCAGAAATTTCCTAAATAAAATTGTGTGGAACAAACAAAGCCTATGCATTGGCTGTATTTTGTGGTGTGGTGGTGCCCAGTTTAGGAACCCACAAAGTTCCCTATCCCCCTGCTCTTTCTCCCACCCTCTCTCTGGGACTCCTCTCCCCATCCCGGTACCTAGACTTCTCTTCTCTGCCACTGGTTTTACGCCCCCATTAGTGAAATCATCTGATACAGAACCCATGTTACAAGAAAGGGAAGAAATGGGTGCAATGGTAGAAACCCAGGCACTGTGGCAGGCAGCAGGATAGACCTGCCTTAGCTATTGAGAACATCAGAAAAGTCTGGAAAATTGTCGGCCTCTTCCCGCTTCCTGCAGGAGGGGTGGTCAAAGCAGGCTGTGTTTCTCAGGGGTAAGAGAGGAAGCCTGGCCTTCCTCTTCAGAGATAACGCCCAGCTTCCAGAAGCCGCCTCCACACGAAAGGCCAAGACTGGATGTTTCCCAGGAGGAAGAAATTCAGTTAAGCACCTTGGGAGCCAAACCTACTGCTCTCCGGCAAGAAACCAGCCCTCTGGGCTCGTCAGAGTGCCTGAGGTTCTGCCCTATCGCTTCCGGGTCCTGAGTGTTCACAGACTGAAGAAGCTCAGTTGGTCCAGTTCAGGAGCAGTCTCTGCTGCCTACCAGAATTGAGACTCTGGGCAGGTCACATCCTCTCCCTATGCCTCAACTTCCTGTTCTATAAAATGGGGGCAGTAATGATGTCTAATAATACCTGTGAACAGGTTGTGAGGATTCAATTATGTAATGTATAAAACCGGAAGCACTTGGCCGTGGTCCCAGAACACACTCAGCATGCAGCGAATGGCAGCAATTGTGGCATTATTAGAGTCATTTCTACCATGCTTTAGTGGCATTGAAATAACCTGTTGCTGGGAGCTGTCACATACCTGAGGCTGCATCCTCCCCCTAGCACTCTCAGAGACTGGGCACAGAGTGGGTGGCCCAGAATTGCAGATGTGGAGGAAAACGGACTCACCCACCTAGAAACAAGGCTGAACTGTCACTGGTTTGATTCTTGCAAAACCCTCAGTTACATTCTCCTCCTCAGCGACTGACAAAACAAGGATGCTGATAGTCTGTTTAATATTAATAATAAAGAACATTGCTGCAATACCCACTGTGTGCCAGGCACTGTGCTGGATGACCCACCTACCTTCTCTTCACAATAAAGAAGCCTTTTGGACCCCCTTCCCGTTTACCAGAAAACTGAGGTTAACAGCATTGAAGTCTCTGCCCAAAGTCACTTGTCAGAATCCAGGTGCTCCCATGCTTTCTGGCAGGGGTGAGGATGACAGAAAGAAGGGAAGACAAGCAAAGGAGGCAATCTTACCGGTGACACCAGCCCCTGCGAGTGCTGTGAAGCTCAGCCAGCGGGAGGTGGCATTTATACCTTCCCCAGAAGTGCCAGTGCCAAGATGAGTGACTGCTGTGTTCCTGCGAAAAGCAGGGTGAGAATGCTGGATTAAGCTCTCACCAAAGCTCGGGTCAGCAAATGCCCACAGACATTGTGTCTCTGCACAATAATGTCATTAGCTTTCAGATTCGGCCGCGCCAGTGCGGTCAGGCGGCTAGGCAAGGAGATGCCCGCTTTGCATGCATCAGCCGTCCGGCTGCCAGCGCTGGGGGCACACTGGGTTCACTGGTGCGCTCAGTCAGGCCCTGAGGCATGGCAGACACAGAGGAACATCTCCGTGGACCTGGGGAAGAACAAGTAAAGAAGGGTGGTTTGGCAGAGCCTGGGCTTCATTCATCTACCCATTTATTCATTCAACAAATATTTGCCGGGCATCCATTTGGTGACAAGCTCTGTTCTAGGGGAGAGTGTCAGGAAGAGGACCTACCCCAGCCCAGGCATTTCAGAAAAGCTCTTGGTGGGTAGCGCATCCCTCAGGGATGGAGAAGAGGAAGAATAGGGTCAGGGGACAGGTCCAAGTAGAAAGGGTCCATATACAAGGAACCAGCATAGTGTATTTCGAGAAGACCTGAAAACAGGTTAACAAAGCTAAGGCATGCCATGTGACAAATAGAGCCTGTGCCAGGTGGACAAGGTGGGCAGGGCCTGGTGTTGCAGGGTCAGGGAGGGCAATTATGGAGAGTGCATTTTATTCTCAAGGCCCCTGGCTGTTTCTCTTTCTCTCTTTCTTTCTTTTTGAGACGGAATCTCTCTCTGTCACCCAGGCTGGAGTGCAGTGGTGAGATCTCGGCTCACTGCAACCTCTGCCTCCCAGGTTCAAGTGATTATCCTGTCTCAGCCTCCCTAGTAACTGGGAGTACAGGTGTGCACGACCAGGCCCAGCTGATTTATTTTATTTTATTTTATTTTATTTTATTTTAGTAGAGACAGGGTTTTGGCTTGTTGCCCAGGGTGGTCTCGAACTCCTGAGCTCAGGCAATCCATCCACCTTGGCCTCCTAAAGTGCTGGGATTACAGGCATGAGCCACTACACCCAGCCTGTTTCTTAACCACTGACCTAGAGTGAGGCGCTGTTAGATCCCTACCACTGGCCCTGTTGCTGCCACGTGGGTACCCAGCCTTTACTCAGTTTCTTTTTTTTTTTTTTTTTTTTTGAGATGGACTCTCGCTCTGTCACACAGGCTGGAGTGCAGTGGCACGATCTCGGCTCACTGCAAGCTCCGCCTCCTGGGTTCAGGCCATTCTCCTGCCTCAGCCTCCCGAGTAGCTGGGACTACAGGCACCCACCACCACGCCTGGCTAATTTTTTGTATTTTTAGCAGAGACGGGGTTTCACTGTGTTAGCCAGGATGGTCTCGATCTCCTGACCTCATGATCCGCCCGCCTCGGCCTCCCAAAGTGCTGGGATTATAGGCATGAGCCACGGCGCCTGGCCTTTACTCATGTTTCTTTAGTGCACACACCTTACTTGCAGCCCAGGCTGTGTCTTGATCCAATCTGAGACTTGGAGACTGGGTCAAGCATACCTGCTTTCCCCTGTTTCTCGTTTCCTTAATGCACATATGCATGCACACACATGTACACACACTACGCGCACATGCCCTAGCCCCCTAACTGAGCTGTTCCTTTTGCAGCACTCATCACCACCCAACATTCTGTTACTCATTTATTTTCTGCCTTTCCAATGAGGAGATAAACACCACAAAAGCCAAGAAGTTGTCCCCCTGGTTTACCATGGTATCGCCAGAGCCCAGTGCCTGACACATAGTAGATACTTGTTTTAAAATCCCAGGGCTGGCCAGGCACAGTGGCTCACGCGTGTAATCCCAGCATTTTGGGAGGCTGAGTCGGGTGGATCACCTGAGGTCGGAAGTTTGAGACCAGCCTGAGCAGCATGGAGAAACCCCGTCTCTACTAAAAATACAAAATTAGCAGGCCGTGGTGGTACATGCCTGTAATTCCAGCTAGTTGGGAGGCTGAGGCAGGAGAATCACTTGAACCTAGGAGGCAGAGGTTGCGGTAAGCCGAGATCACGCTGTTGCACTCCAACCTGAGCAACAAGAGCGAAACTCTGTCTCAAAAAATATAAATAACTAAAAATAAAAATAAAAAATCCCAGGGCTGCTATAATAAAGTGTCACAAACTGAGTGACTTAAAAACAACAGAAATTGGGAATATAAAATGGTGTTGCCACTATGGAAAAGAGTGTGGCTGTCTCAAAAAAAAAATCCAACATAGAATTACCATATGAGCCAGTCATTCCAATTCTGCGCATGTGCCCAAAAGAATTGAAAGCGGGGAATTAAAGAGATATTTACGCACCCATGTTCATAGCAGCATTATTCACAATAGCCGAAAGATGGAAGCCACCCAAATGTCCATCAACGGATGAATGGATAAACACTATGTGGTCTATCCATACAATGGAATATTATTCAGCCTTAAAAAGAAAGGAAATTCTGACTCCAACATGATGAGGCTTGAAAAAGTTATGCAAAGTGAAATAAACCAGACACAAAAGGACAAATATTATATGATTCCACTTATATAAGTTACCTAGGGGAGGCAAATTCATGGAGACTGGAAGCAGAATAGAGGTTACCAGGGGCTGAGAGGATGGGGGAATGGGGAGCTGTCGTCTAATGGGTACAGGGTTTCTGTTTAGGATGATGAAAAAGCTGGGGATGGATAGTGGTGATGGTCCCATAACAATGCTACTGAACTGTACTCTTAAAAATGGTTAAAATGGCTAATTTTATGTTATGCAGTATTTTACCATAAAAATGTCCAAACCCCCCCCAGAAGTTTATTGTGTAATTCTGGAGGCTGGAAGTCTGACATCAAGGTGGCAGCAGGGTCATGCCTGCTCCAGGGGTCCTAGGTGAGGGTCCTTCCTTGTCTCTCCCAGTCTTCTGTGTTTGCTGGTAATCGTTGGTGTTCCTTGGATGAGAGTTGTATCACTTTAATTACGTGGCCATCTTCTCCCTGTATCTTCACGTCATCTTCCCTTAGTGCGTGGCTGATTCTGTGTCTGAATTTATGCTTTTATAAGGATACCAGTCATGTTGGTTTAGGTGACTTCATTAGGTAACTTCACCCTGATGACTTCGTTTTAAATTGATTCCTTCTGCAAAGACCCTATTTCCACATAGAAGGTCACATTCTGAGGTGCTGGGGGTTAGGACTTTGGAATATCTTTTATGGACACAGTTCAGCCCATAATAGACCTCAGTCAACATTTGTTGAATAAATGCATGAATTCAAGACCTGGGTGTGTCCTTATAAATAAGAAAGAATTCCTAACATTTAGATAGTATGAGAGCTTGACACGAGTCAGGTACTGTCCATACTCATCCTTTTTTAATCCTCCCAACATATTCAAGAGGGAAGTATTGTATTTATTGATCATTCCATTTTATAAAAGAGAAAATTGAGGCTCAGAGAGACTAAGCCACTTGCCCAAATTTGCACAGCCAGTGAGTAGCAGGACTAGGCTTTACGGATTGAGCCCTGAAAGTGTCTGGTTTCATTAATTCAATCCTCACAATCATCTTTGCAGTAGGTATTATTAATGTCCCCTAATACAGATTAGGAAGCCAAGGCTCATAGAGCTTAAGTAACTTGTCCGAGGTCACACAGCCAGGAAGTGGTAGGACCAGCGCTTGATCTTAGATCAGTCTGATTTCAAGATAAACGCTCTTAACTTTTAAACTATAAAGCTTCCTACTGAACTCTGGGAACTTAGTGAAGTTTTTCTCCTCCAGGCCTCAATTTCCCCATCAGAAATAAGGTCCTTGGTGCCGAGACCAGCTTGGTCGGGGCGCTGGAGGAATTAAAGGCACACACACAGAGAAATATAGAGGTGTGAAGTGGGAAATCAGGGGTCTCACAGCCTTCAGAGCTGAGCGCCTCAAACAGAGATTTACCCACGTATTTATTAACAGCAAGCCAGAGATAAGCATTGTTTCTATAGATTAACTAAAAGTATTCCTTATGGGAAACAAAGGAATGGGCCGAAATAAAGGGCTGGGTTGGGCTAGTTATCTGCAGCAGGAGCATGTCCTTAAGGCACAGATTGCTCATGCTATTGTTTGTGGTTTAAGAACCACTTTAAGCGGTTTTCTGCCCTGGGTGGGCCAGGTGTTCCTTGCCCTCATTCCGGTAAACCCACAACCTTCCAGTGTGGGCACCATGGCCATCACGAACATGTCACAGTGCTGCAGAGATTTTGTTTATGGCAAGTTTTGGGACCAGTTTATGGCCAGATTTTGGGGGGCCTGTCCCCCAACACTTGGTCCCTGCACCATGTATTAGGTTGGTGCAGAAGTAATCGCGGGTTTTTGGCATTACTTTTGTTTTTTTTTTTTTTTTTTTTTTTTTTTTTTTTTTTTTTTTTTTTGTTTTTTTGAGACGGAGTCTCGCTCTGTCGCCCGGGCTGGAGTGCAGTGGCCGGATCTCAGCTCACTGCAAGCTCCGCCTCCCGGGTTTACGCCATTCTCCGGCCTCAGCCTCCCGAGTAGCTGGAACTACAGGCGCCCGCCACCTCGCCCGGCTAGTTTTTTGTATTTCTTAGTAGAGACGGGGTTTCACCGTGTTAGCCAGGATGGTCTCGATCTCCTGACCTCGTGATCCACCCGTCTCGGCCTCCCAAAGTGCTGGGATTACAGGCTTGAGCCACCGCGCCCGGCCGGCATTACTTTTGATGGCAAAAACCGTGATTACTTTTGCACCAATCTATTATTCTCATTGAGGAAGCCATCGGGGTTCCCATTGGCTGATAGAAGTGGTAAAACGTGCTAGGGAGATGTTTGATTATTATTCCTATTTCTACAGGTAAGCAAAGTGAGGCTCAGAGAGGAGACTTTCTTGTCCAAAGGCTCACAGCCACACAGTGGTAGAGCTGGGAGTTGAACTGAGATTTGAATTCAGAGATTT